CAGTTATGTAATTTGGAGGTGCCTAGGGGCAAAAGGCCAAGTTGGGCATTTCAAGTAGAATTAGATAAATATCCATTTTAAATGAACCATGGATCAATGAAATCCCATTTTAGGTCCCCATATATTGGTCTTAGCCAGGGTATTGTGAGGGTATGGTGAAGATATGGTGAGGGTATAGTGTACCTTAGCTCCGAATCAACACCCATGATCAATTCTAAGGCCAAGTAACCCTATAGGAACTCTTCTTGAGCTTCCCCATAATGATCTTACCTTCTAAATATTAGAGGTTAGGACCAATATGTGGAACTTCAAGTTGAGTAAATAAAAGAGTTTTGAGTTTCTAATGGTGAGAGTACCTTTTCTAGTTTTATAAGACTAGTCAATAGGAAAGTCCTATGACTAGACCTAAGCTACTAAAGAAGTTTCTAGACCTCAACCAAAAGTGAGGTCAACAAATAGTCAAGTGTTTTTTCATCTCATTCTTTCTTTATGCAATTAATTTTATATATTTCTTGATAAGAATGATAAAACAATTTATATTTGCGTAGAAATTCTTAGCTAAATAAAGTGTGTGGTTATCTAAAGTCAAAGGTCATGAATATAACAAATTATTACCAGGACGAGATGATTAATTTATGAATTTTTTAAAATAATTGACCATTTTATATACATGACTTTCAATTTTCTAATTTTTTTAAGGGAAATTTTTTATGCATGTCCATGCTTTAAACACAAAAATCATGTAAATTAATATTGAAAATTTTGAAATAATTCCAACCATTAAAACAAAAGATGCGTCAATATGAATTAGTATCCAACTATGTTCCAGTTAAATGATTTCACATGCACAATACAAAAACAAAAGTAGATTTAATTCATATCAAAGAGTGTTTCAACTAAATTATTAGATTTGATTATAACATGAAGGGTGCAATGTATCCCCACCAAATTGTTGTGTGCCCAAAAATTCTTAGTGGTTGAGTGATAATTTAATGTATTTGTGTTGAACAAAGATCAAGCACACACACAAATATATGAAAAGTAGCATGAGAACACACCGATATTCTTACATAGAAAAAGTTGGAAATGGAAAAAAAAAACCATGAAGCCCAACATGGTTAATATACTCTACAATTGTAAGTACACATAGTTACTCTTTTCCTAAATTAGAGAAGTTGAAATCACAAAGTTGATAATCACAAATGTACAATATTAATTTGATTATAATAGTTAGAATTGAGCTACAATTGAATATGATTCTTAACTATGATAGCAGTAGTCCGCTATAGAGGTCGTAATTGGAAATTCTGACAATAATAGTTGACCACAAATGACATAATTTCTTCTAATTAAAAAGTAGATAAACTCATTATATGCAACTTGGGATGCTTTAGATCTTAGTGCCTATTCTCAATATCATAACATTATGATCAATTTTGATCGGTTCGACGATCTTGTTAAATATAAGAGGGTATGTCTCAATAATAGATTCATCACTTGGTTTACACTCTTCTATTAGCATGCACAACTATATGATTTCAATTACAATATGATCATGCATTGTTATGTTTTTCAAATTACATATTTTGTTCCTAATTCCATCAAAATCAACTCTTTTAGAACCCACTTTTTATAATAGCATTGTTATTATATGATGCATTGACTTCATAAAATTCCACTTAAGGAAAACTAGGCCAATTCCTATTGAGTTTCAGATATTTCGGCAAATCTCCGTCCTAAAGCTTCAACAATGGAGGATGTGCTGACCGACCTTCCGCCGCCATCAAGATTCTTCGATGAAGACCTCGATAACTTCGCCACCCCAACCCCTTCACTCCCCTCCCCTTTCCTCCGCCTCAACCCTAATCGCCCAAATCTCCGCCCTTCTCTCCTCATCATCGCCATCTCCACCCCCTCTCTCTCCCTCCTCCGCCGCATCCCGCACAAAACCCTGATCGGAACCCTAATCCTCCCAGAAAGCCCGCATTCCTCCAAATCCTGCAACATCTACTTCATTGATCGGCCTTCTCCCGCCATACTTGTCGCTGTTCATCACAAAGTCTCCGACGAGAGGTCTCGCGCCGTCGCGAAGGTGCTGTTGGGTGATATCATCGGAGAGAGAGTCCTGATCATGGATTCGATCAAGGCGGAGAATTACAGGAGTTCGGTGAGGGATGAAGCTGCGGGTTTCAAGCTGGAGACGTCGTCGGAGAGAGGCGGAGAGGATCGTTTGGTTCGAGATTGGGAGTACTTGCCATCGGGGAGCGTGATGGGGGGACTTGGAGCGGCGTTGCTCGGGGAGTGTCAGATGAGGGGTTGGAAGGCGACGATGTGCGCAACGTGGCCGGAGAATGGCTGGTCGGTGGCTGCGAAGCTGAGGTATGTAATGAGGGATTTGGGATTTGATGTGGATGGGGATGAGAGTGGGGACGGCGATGGAATCAGGGTTCCTTCTCGCTTCCACTCGGAACTGTATGTTTGAGGTATTTGCTTTGTTTGAGCTTTGAAATTGACTCCTTTTTAGCGGGGTGGATTTGATCTTTTGCTTCAATGAGAAAACCATTGTGTTGTATTTCGGTTCATCTGTTTCAATCAAAATTCGTGCTTTTCTCTTCAATCAAAGATTCAGAGAAGACGAGCCTTTTGAGTGACAGTGTACACGACAATTATGTGGATTTCAATCAAAATTCGTGTTTTTAAATACCCAGGGAGTAAGAGTGAAAAAACAAGATATGCAGAACACATAGTGGCTTTATGGAGATTACAATACTTAAAAACATCTATTAGATAGTACAAACCTAATCTTTGTCTAATCTAAAGCTAGCGATTCAGTGAGACATTGTGATTTTGGAAAATTTACATACTTAACATTTTAGGTGGTGTTTGGTAGCATAGTTCTAAAAAGATTTAGCCATGAAATTAGCATCAATTCAGCCAAACATAAAAAAAAAAAGAACATGAAATCCAATACCCTGTTCAATTGAATTTTTTCGCGTTATGATTTTTCTTTTCACGTTCCATCTCTTTCACGACATAAATCCAAATTTACTAAATTTTATTGCAAGACGGATTTAAGAATTTCTTCCGTCATGCTGCAAGCATCATCTTCATATTCATATCCATCAATATAAATCTGATTTATTGGATTTACTAAATACCGGTTGTAGCCAAACGCCCCCTTATGCATTTACATTTCTTACATTTAAGTTTTCATATTCACACATGTAAGATTTTGGCGTTTTAGTTTTATGCATGAACAGATGTATTTTAATTTTAAGAAATGCTAACAGTGTTATGTTTTATGTGATATCAATGATTTGAGTGTTTTGGTACAAATATGAAAGTTTAGCGAGATATGCACACATAAGAATTGTGTGCCATTTATGTAAATGCGCCTATGATTTCTCACATACCCTGGGGCTTGGCAGTGAACAAGCAACATATGAAGAACACATGGAACACTTTTACACTAAAAGTCAATGCCTGAAAGCAAGTACAAATACCATGGTTATTAATATAATGTCAGTATATTAGATTTTAATCTCAAATAATTTGGTAGTTTGGTCAATTTTTACAGCAAATAAGGATAAAAACTGATGTTACATATTTATTTGATGAAAAAAAAGCTTCCAATTCAATTTTAATAATAATAATAATAATAATAACTTATGGTGCATTCATTGTCCTTCACTTAATTGCTTATTGAGAAACTTTAATATATTTAAGAGTAGAAGACATCAGTTTAGATACATGAATTTTAGATTTTAGAATAAAAGACTATTGATAAGATTTACCATAATACATGAGACACGTGATTAATGAGAATTAGGATTCGATTTTTTTATGGGCAAACGTAAGTGCATATATCGACCAAGTAGCATAGTGTATTAGTAAAGGAAAAAAAAAGGTAATATAGTATATTTGAATATAATATCGTTTCCATGAGGATAAGTTGTAACTTTTGAAAATGAAGTTTAAATACAAGTTGTTAATACTAATTTCTATCGAAAATCAAAAATTTTTTAAAAGATGTTTTTTAGGTTTTCTAAAATAACAAAAACTTCAAAAATACATAACTCTTTTCACTCTATATTATCAAATTTTCATAATATGTGTTTCCTTTATAAACTTACTTCTAATTAAGAACAAAAGTAGTTTGTAGTCTCTATGGATAGGAATCTTAATTTCAAATTTTTTTAATGTTATATATGTCTATGCAATTAGTGGATTTCAAAATCATTTTCTTAATTTTCCTGAGTGATTGTTACTATTCAAAACCAATGTCTATTGTTTTAAATTCTAATTATGGATCTTTCCTATATAGATTAAGACTGTCAATATCATTAACCTATATTAAATGCTAACTAAGAATGTGACCATCATTATTGCTAGATAAAATTAGAAGAAACACAAACAAGCACTTGAATTCAAAGGAAAAGCCCTTAGCCAAACATGCTTTGACAATCCAAACACAAACAAACTTTCATTTCAACACAATTATAAAAATTCAAAAGAAAATGCAACAAAGAAGAAAGCAATACAAAAGAACCAAAATTTAAATAGTTGTAAACAAAAGTAGCTATCTCCAAGTTCTTCTTTTGTTCTTTCTTGCTTCTTCTTTTCTGCACTTGATCAAGTGGTACCCTTTCTCACACCCGCTCCTATACACATACAAACAGTCTACTTTAGACTCCAATAGACTTCTCTAATGTTTTCTGCATTTTTTAATTTATGTCAGCCTAATAATCACCAATCCGTTGTATAAATTTATGATTTTGAAATTCTGGTAGGGTCGTGCGGTCGTCATACTACAACACACTGGATACAACACTGCAACGCTTAATGACGTTGCGACTCCAAACTTTGGGTCTTCTGGTTTCTTGCTCTGTCGATGATAGCGCTGCAGTCTTAGAAGAACTACTCACTATCTAATTGGGTAAATGAATTGGTGTTATTTCCGGGCTTAACAATTTTAGAAGATGGAAAATACTTGGTTAATAACTTTTGGGCTAAATTATTTCAAGTTATAATAGATCGAAGAGGTAATGAATTCAACCGCATTTTTGTTTATCTCTTAGTGAAAAAGGGACTAATCTAAATATAACATCATCATTAGAGACACCGTTGTACTTAAAGAAAGCTGCACAAATCTTCAGGAAACTAGCTATGCGTAGGTTGGTCTCTTCTACGATTGAACCTCCAAATTAGCTATTCTAGACAATTTGGATAATTGGTGGCTTTAACTCAAAGTTGTTTGCATCGATGGCTAGTCTATTTATCTATTTATACTCTGGTGAACTCCTACTAATGAATTGAAAATCTCTAAGTGGTCTAGGTTGATTGTTTTTCTGAGAAGCTTCGTCATATCTCTTAAATTTATTTTATGTTTTTTTTTTTCAAATTTCAAATATTTGTTATGATTTTCTCATGTTCATGATTAAATAACACTAATTCTCTACATTCAATCCTCATACACTAGCTAATTAAAAAGCTTTGATGAACAAAGTAATACAAGAACTAACAAAAATAGTTAAATTTTAACAAGATAACATGGAAACATGTGTCAAATAACATATGACATAAGCATGAATAGCTTAAAAAAAAGAGTTCAGAGCCGCGATGCTGACATAACATCGCACGCTAACATGAACATTACACAACAGATTATGTACTATTGAGTAATAACATAAATCACATACATAATAATAATACTAAAATAAACAGTACAATGCTAAATAAATTTAAATTATAAATGGTTTAAGCTTTAAATTTTATAATCACACTATTATCCCTTACAACGGTGTCAAAAACGTAACCCAAAATTTGCATGGGTAAACACGAGTGTACATGTCGACCAAGTAATATAGTGTATTTGAATATGAGATAATTCCCACTAGGATTAGTTGTAATTTTTGAAAATGATGTTTAAACACCAGCTATTAACCTTAATTTCTATCCAAAACTATAATTTTTTCAAAAGATGATTTTATTTTTGGTTTTCTAAAATGATAAAAATTAAAAAAAAATACAAAATCCTTTTAATTTACAATCTATATTATCAAATTTCCAGAATATGAGTTTCATTTAAAAACTTGTTATTAATCAGGAATAAAAAATAACCTCTAGTCTCTATCAGTAGCTAGAAACCCTAATTTCAAAAATTTCTATGTTATATGTATAGCAATTAGTGGATTTCAAAATTGAATGTTTTTCATTTCCCTAGGTTTTTGTTACAATTCAGAAGTTAAATGTCTATTCTTTCAAATCTTGGTAAGGAATTTTCTGATATAGATTAAGACTTGGTCGATATCGTTATCCTCAACTAAGTTCAAAGCATTATGACAATATATCCTTAAAATTTGACATGTAAATCACAAATTCAAATGAAAGAACAGTCAACCTAGCAGGTTTTCACAATCCAAACACAATGAAACTTTGATTTCACCACAATTATAAAAATTCACAAGGAAATACAACAAAGAATAAAGTAAATACAAAAGAAATGGGATCTAAATAGTTGTAGACCGAAGTAGCCCTCTCCAAGTTCTCATTTTTTTTCTTCCTTGCCTCTTCTTTTCAACACTAGACCAAGTGGTACTCTTTCTCACATTCACTCACACACACATACAAACCCTTTTATACTCCAGTAAAGTTCTCTAATGTTTCTCTGCACTTTTTAAGCCCTATAGTTGCTAATCTCACATCCAAATTTGTGATTTTGAAATGAATAATTGTTCTAGGCCATCGAGCCATGATGCTCTTGGCTAACACTACGACGTTAGAAATTTGACGTTGCGGGGACATGCTCTCTATCTTTTTTGGCTACTTGCTTTGGCTGCGATAGCGTTGTGGTGCTATGGATAGTGGCACTTAGGCTTTGCATCCTAGCATTGCAACATTAAGTATTTGGCGCTGCAACTCTAAGGTCTAGGGAATCTTGTTATTGAAAAAACCAAATATGGCACCTAGCCATGTGGTATGGTGCTGCGGCGCTGCATATAATTTCATCAAATCTTCATGAGTCTTCTTTAAGAGCTATTCCACATAAACACACTTATGCTATATATACTCATCTTATGACAATGAATATCACATCAAAGCTTAAAATTATTATCCTTTTATGTGGAAGGATACAAATACTTCAATAATTTTGTGTGAAGAGGATGGTAACAACTACATATCAAGAGAATGAAGTTGATTTATGTGTGAAACACACATGCTTTCTTCCTTGGAAAATAATATAACTTGATGAAAATTAGTATTTCAGAGAGCTTTAATAATGTTGCTAAGTAATATGAATAACATCTGCTGACATAGTTAAAGGGAAAATAAAATGTCATTAATCAGTAAATAAGAAGAATCATTACTAGTGGATATTGATGCATGCAATATAAACAACAAAATGATGTGATTCACTACATATGCTATTAGGAATTTAATGTCATCAATTTGTTGATAGGTTTTAATGATATTATATAATGTGTTATATGCTATGTAATATGTTTTAATGTTGTGATGTTTATATTCGACTATTTAATAAATTGTGATGCATGATATTTTTTTTTATAACTTCTATTCAATCATGCCTCGCTAAATGTGACTCAACAGTCATTTATTTTTGAATTAAATTTTAGTTTATATCTCTATAATCGCTCATATCAAACATCTTGAGTAGCGCTGTCAAAACGGCTCGTTGTTCGCGAACATCTTATGTTTGGCTCGTTAAGTAATTCATATTCGATTCTTTCACTGAGCAAATGCGCCGAACATGAATAAAATTTTGTTCGTTCGTGTTTGACTCGTGTGTGTGCATATATATATATATAATGAATTGTATTTTTAAATAATTTAATTAACTACAAAGCTACAAAGATTTATAATCAATTAAAATTACTAATTAAAAATATATTAAATTCTATTTAAACAAATATTTTAATATAATTAACAAAATTTAAAACTCACCGTTCCCTTAACATTCTATGATTGTGTGATTTGAGTTGCTAAAATAGTTCATTGTCGGTGAATAGCTCTTGTTCAGCTCAATAGACAAGTGAGTTAATAACAAATAAATTTTTTAGCTCGATATATAAATAAGCTGAATACGAACAATGATATTTTTTAACAAGTCGAGTCTGAACTAGCTCAAACGCGACTCGTTTACACCCCTAACGACTGCATATGTGACTAGTGTCGTCAAAATGGTTTTTTGTTTGCAAACAACTCATGTTCGACTCACTAAGCAAACCAACCGAACACAAACAAACTTTTTGTGTTCTAAATATAACGAGCCGAACACGAACAATGATATTTTTCAACGAGCAGAACACGAACAAACTTTTTGTGTTCTAAATATAACAAACCAAATACGAACAATGATATTTTTGAACGAGCCGAACACGAGCTGAGCCCAGCTCGCTCGTCTTTGGCTCGTTTACACCCCTAATCCTGAGACTTGAGTGTCAAATACTAAGTCAAAGAAATCTAATGCTTTTCTACGAGTCAATCTATGAACCCATCAACTCGGCGAAACAACATCTAAAATAGTTCCGCCGATCTACACATTACTACATATAATCATATAATTTTACAAAATTTTTACCAAACATTTTATAAATAATATGACTAGTATCATTAATAATTCAAAAACTTATTGTTGTATGAATAAGATTTACTCGATTTAACAAAAGAAAAATAACATAAAAAATAAATACCACAATTATTCGAATTAATTAAATGTACTCTAACTTATATATAAATAAATCAAGGTAAATTATTCATGAGATCTACTATTTTATTATGAACAAAAAGAGAAATCTGTACCATATATAACAAATCAATGGTAAGACCCATAACTATATAAAATGTCTAGAGACCCAACATAAATAACAAGTATAAGATATGCTTATCTATTAATAAATAATAATTAACTAACTCTAAATAAATGAGCAATACAAATATTCTAATTTATCTGTAATGTTGGGATCTATAAATCGAAGTAGAAAAATGAAAAGAACACAAGAGATTTATGAGGTTTCACAAATTGTGCCTACGGTCATTCATAGCATTACTCTCACTTCCCTCTTCGTTGCGGGTTGGTTATTCGTCAGTACGGGTTTAGCTTACGATGTTTTTGGAAGTCCTCGGCCAAATGAGTCTTTCACAGAGAGCAGACAACGGATTCCATTCAGAACTTTTTTTATTCTTTGGTGGAACAACTCGATGAATTGAGTCAATCCTTTTTTTGGCTCCCAATGACCATAGATCGAACCTATCCAATTTTGACAGTGCGATGGTTGGCTGTTCACAGACTGGCTGTACCTACTGTTCCCAATGGTTGGCTGTTCATCGGGAGCAGAGCGGCAATATTACTATTCAAAAAAAGTTCAGTACACACCCATAGGGCTACACATCAGATTTATAGATAAAACCCATGAAAAAGGACATAAATACCTCTGTATCGTACATGAATTCAATAACCCCATGAAAAATGACATAAATACGCTCGCTCGCTTCGTTGGCTGGCTCCGCTCTGCTTGCTCGCTCCGTTCCGCTTCAGCATCTATCCCTTATCTGGTATATGAGTCATATCTAACATGATCATCTGATTTCATTATAGGTATATGGTTCAAAATATGAATAATTTTTCCAAACGTAGATAACAAAATGTACAAAATCTTTAATCTTCAATATATAATGAGAGGAGAAATAGAAGGTTTGTCTTAGAACTTTATCATGTAGAATTATTACTCGCTAATCATTATTATTTTGGATGAAAAGGGTGCTGAGAATGGAAAGTGTTAAGCAAGTCCTTACTCAAAATTTTATTTACATAATGCCCCAAAATGCCTTTAACTATTAAGAATATTTTAGCCTAAATCAAACTTTAAAGTATTCTAAAAAAAATGAATAAATGTATTATTCAATTCTCGATATCACATAGGAGGTGCAAATGAGCCAAGCTGGCTTGTGAGCCGGCTAGTTAACGAGCTCACAAGCTGAGCTCATCCAGTCATGAGCTCGAGCTCAAGCTCAAACTAGAGCTCATTTATTGCTCGTCCTGGCTCAGCTCGTTTGCTCACGAGCCTACTCGATTAACTTATCGTTAGTCATTTCAATATATTTCCCAATGAGTTGTCACTGCCACCTCAGCTTTTCTCCTCCAGACAAAAAAATTTTTAGGTTAAACTCACGCTGAGGAGCCAACTGCTATCAATATGAGTGAAGTTGAGCAATTCGACCCGAGCTCAAAGTTCAGACTCACAATTTGACAAACGAGCGGAGCTCTCCTGCTCATTTCCCGCAACCCCAAAATGGAATCCCCCCTCCCGCTTTCCATATCCCGCCACTCCAAACAAAAAACTGGATTCGATGAACGCTGCCTGTAAGGTTTAGAGCTTCTCTTGTTGTGCTCGAGCTGCACATTTATCATCCCGCCACCCTTACAGGTAAACGCCGTTATTCTCTATCACCTCATCCTCTGCAACTCGCTCTCGTTTCCTCTCTCAAGTATCGAGCTTGGAACCCCTCTCTGCTTCATTCGCTCTCTCCTAACTGGGAAATTGGCAAGAAGCAAAGGGGCTCTCCTCTCCGATCAAATCTCCGCCCCCAATCTCCTCTGCTAGTTTTTTTTTTTGGGCGCATATTAGGGTTTCTGATGTTTCTTTCTGATCAAAACTTGGAATCCTACCGAGAACTTTAGGTGAGAAGAAGATTATAAAACTGTGCCAAATGCCGAGCGTGAAGCGGGGCGAGATTGAAATTGGTGGCGAGGAGGACGGCGATGGGGCTGTAAGGAGCCGTCGCAAGAACCGGAAAGTGGATATCTTCTTTCAAGTTTGTAGCGGCGTTGTGGAAGAATCAACAAACTGTAAAAAAGGGAGTTCTGGCGATAAAAGAGACATTTTTATCGCCTCCGCGGAATCTAATTCCCTAGCATTGATCAGGGAAGAGGACTACCATAGTGCTTGCAGAAACTTTCGTGTTAAGAAGTACTCTGCCTCGCGAAGGGCTCTCACTTGTTTTGTGGGAGTGGGAGATCCTGCGAGTTTTTATTCTGAGGCAGTCTGTAAGGAGGCCAATTTTCGTAAGGAGATAGCTGAAAGACGGAAAGATTACTTTTTTCCAGAGGATTTCGGTTTAGGGGATGTGGTTTGGGCGAAATCAGGGAAGAAGTATCCTGCATGGCCTGCTGTTGTCATTAATCCAATGCAGCAAGCTCCAGCTATGGTGCTCAATTCCTGCATTCCCGGAGCTCTTTGTGTGATGTTTTTTGGGTTCTCTGGAAATGGAAGAGAAAGGGTACTTCTTTTTGTCTCTACGTGAATTATAATTCTTGATTTCATGTATTTCTTTTTATTTTGCTTTTCATGGGCAGGACTATGGCTGGGTGAAACAAGGGATGCTATTTCCATTCATAGATTATTTGGATAAGTTAGTAGCTTTTGCTCCGAAACCATGAAATTTTCTATTTTTAGTAGTTTTCGTTTCCAACTTTCAGTTCTTTTTTGTGTCAGGTTTCAAGGGCAGACTCAGCTCTACAAGAGCAAACCCAGTGATTTCCGTATGGCTATTGAGGAAGCCTTCTTAGCTGAGCATGCTTTTGTAGGAACTGAAGTTGATGGAATGAGTATGATTGGGCAAGTGGCGTACAATCAATCTGTTCTTAGTGGGATCCAAGAAGCTACTGGTTCAAACCATGACTTGGAATGTGATTCAGAAATACAGGCAAGATGATTGCATTTGACGGGGCATTTACATACATACCACTCAATTCCTATGTATTTTCATATCTAACACCTAATTAAACTTTACTTTTTTACTTTTATATTACCGAAATCTTTCATGTCATATAAAAAATACCACTATTTTAACTTTCAAAGGTGAAATACACCTTTTCATGTATAGGTAACGTGGTATATATGTAAAAATTTAAGCTTAGGTGTTAGATATATAAATTCGAAGGAATTGAGTTGATGCATGTAAATCTTCCTTCTTTTTATTTATTATAAGAGCAACTGATATCATACAGCTATAATTCTGTGGAGTAGAGTAATATGTGAAGTAAGCAGTTATCCAGCAAGATTAAGTTTTTAAAACCTAAAATTTTGTAATTTAGTTGGCTGAAATTAAGTATTTACAGCCTATTTTTTATATTGGTTGTGGAGCTTCAGTAGAATGTTTGGCCTTCGGTTTTGATCATTTGTTTTGTTATTTTAATATTTTCAGAATAAATTTATGAACTTAATCAATACAATAGCACAATGCAATTATAGACGTAAAATATAACAAATTATATTTTTAGATTTTCAACTGTCAGAGTTTATGATTCTAGCATTTTTGGGCTTGGACTGAAAAGCTAGCGGTTTGACATATGTGATGCAACATCAATTATGAGAAAACTTTTGGGGGAACAATGACGGTAGTGGAGGGATTGGGCTGATAGCATTTTGAGGCCATGTCATATTAGTTCACTCTCTTTTTGTACTTATTTCTTAGACATAGTGAATTTAACTCCTAGACTAGTGGTTTCTTACCATTTAGGAATTTCCGAGTAATTTTTGGCGTTGTTTGGTAGCATATTATTAATAGGATTTAGCGATGTATTTAGCTTAAATTCAACCAAACACCAAAAAATTAAACATCAAATCCAACACTCCGTTGAATTGAATTTTCTTGCATTCTGTTTGTTTTTCCTTACGTACCGTCTTTTTTCTCAACGTAAATCCAAATTTATTAGATCCTATTGGGAGGCGAATTTATTCCAACATCGTTCGCAAACTCTGCCGTCAAAGATAAATCCGGATTTATTGATTTGATAAATCCTACTTGCCGTAAATTTAAGTTGCAACCAAATAACGTCTTAGTGTTCCTGGATTTATGTTTTGTGGCCTATTATTTGTCATTATTATTTCAATCTGGTATTAGGGAGCGAATTCATATTTGGTTTTGATGATTGCAACCATGAAATGCGATATTTCCACAATTGGATTGCAACATCATATTTATGTTATGGCTGGTCAAGATGCGGGCTGTAATTGAATGTATAGATTTGCATAATTTGCTGTTATTGTTTGAAAAGATGACTTCAAGTTGGTCACTAGAGGAAAAGCAATGCAAAAATAAGAAGCTCAATCCTAAATTCATTTTCATCTATTAAATCAAAATTGTGGGGCGTTTGTAAAGGAGAAAATAGTTGCTGCGTTGTGGTTGTAGTTGGAGCAACCAATAGTCCAACCTGTAAATTACACCTAAAGAATTAACTATATTCTTGCCTTTTGATAAAATATGTGTCTAGAAGATCAACTAATCGTTTTAAGGAAATCATTTTTTATTTGAAAACGATGAAAGCTTAGTACGATGAAGAAGATTTAGGGTTCTCAATATTTATGTTGCTTTCTCACATTCATTCTGGGACTCTATTTTCTATAACTTAGTGCTCTTACTTGAATGAATTTTACGAGGCTCTATTTTTTAAGAAGTTGAAACATCTTATAATTGGATATAAAGCTCAGGCAGAAAGCTTTTTGGTTCGAGAGCAAACTTAAGAGAAGAATTTTGATGCTGAAGGGAAGGTAAAAAATCTAATATTAGGAGAAATTTTATAAAGACTACAAGAAGAAGGGATATATCAAATTTGAATGCTAAAAGCTGTAGTATAAGGAGAAGGCTACTGATAATTAAAAGTGAAAACAACCAAAAAATTCTTGTAAAGCCTATGTTGTGAAAGATCATAGTGATGGAGAACTCTTTAGTTGCTTATAATGGTGACTTCAAATATTTTGAGGATTAGATTTTTTATTCTGGTTGCACATTTATATGTGTCCTCGTAGTGTCTAGTTTTCACTATATGAAATGGTGACTACAGGGTGATGTTTTGTTGTGATATGAAAGTTTGGGTGTTCTTTTTGAAGCAAAAGATTTGTGTTTTGGTCACATTCAAAGAATGGAATATTATAATTAAGTAGTTGAAATGGAAGTAAATTAATCATTTTTGCACTGAAATGGCTTTAAGTTTTATTCTGATGAGTTTAGTACTTTTTGCAAGTAAGAAGGGATTGCGACATTTAACAATTCATCATGCGAGAATGGTGTGGCAAAGAAAAGGAAGAAGGCTGATGGAGAAATTATGTTGCATGCCTTCTAATTTTTGGTTTTCTGAGTTTTTTTTGGATTGAAGCAGCATCCACAGTTTATTTATTTGTTATTCATTCTCCTTCAGCTATTATTGGCAATAGACTACAAGAGATATGGCCTGGTACTCATACAAATTGTACGAAATTCAAGATATTTGGATGTCTTGTTTATGCTTATGTTGATAATGGCAAGCTGGAACTTAGATCTATGAAGGTTATTTTTCTTAACTATATGTCAGAGGTTAAGATATTTAAGTTATATTTTAAAAAAAGTGGAAATATCATAATCAATAGAAAACTTAGCTTTGATGAAGCTGCCATGCTTTATGATTTACCTCCTAAAGCTCCTTGTACGGTATATGAATAGAAATCAATCATGTAGCCGGAGTTTCAGATTGGGTAAAAATCTATACCAAGGTCTGCATCTTTGTCTAACTTAGAGGTATAGAATAGCATTGCTCCAGCAGCAGCAGCAGCACCAACACCCACAATATTTTCTGTTGCAAAAAATAGTCCTATGAGAGAAATTAGAGCTCCTCAGAGGTGCGAACAAGTTGGTTTTGTTACTTATGCCTCGATTCTGGTTGAAAGTTTTGAACCCAGTCCAAGGCAATTAGTTTTAATAATTTTATCAGATTGATAATTACCATACAAGAGATAAAATCTCTATAAAGAATGACACATGGGACATAGTGAGGCTGGCTAAGAATAAGAATGTTGTTTGTTGTAAATGTGTGTTCAAATGAAAGTGAAAAACTCCACGAGATGAAGAACATATGTACAAGGCATGTCTTATTGCAAAGGGTTACAATCAAGTTCCAAGTGTAGACTGCTTGCAAAGGGTTACAATCAAGTTCCAAGTGTAGACTTTACACGCGGTTTTCTCCAATTGTGAAGTATATTTGAATTTGAGCTTTATTTGGTATTATAGTTATACATGATTTTGAGCTTGAATAGTTGGATGCGAATGCAATATTCTTACAGGTTTTATAGCATTTGGAATGTGGAGAATATGAGGATGACATTTGCTTGTATCAACTAGAAGGTTTTATAGCATTTGGAATGGAATGCTACATGTTCTTGTTGAAAAATTTTTTTTCTGGCCTGAAATAGTCTCCCAAAATTTTGGTTGAGTTCGATTTGCACATTGTTAGTCTCTTTGTGTTACCTTGTATTTGCTTAGGTTGACATTGGTGTTGCCTTTTCTTAGTGCAAATTTGTTCTCTCTGATTCTATTTATATTTAAGGAAGCCATCTAAAAGCAAAATAACCGTATTTAGTATGATAATACGAGAATTTCATTCTGAAAAATTTTCAAAGTAGCAGTTTCCCTTGCTTGAACATAATTTTGCCATTTTACTACTAATTTTTCATCTTACACAGTAGCAGTTTCCCTTGCTTGAACATCATTTTGCCATTTTACTACTAATTTTTCATCTTACACTTAGCTTCTTGATCACTGCAATTTGTTTTTTTTTACCTTAATATGCTGAGATGTTCGGTTTACAAGATTACGTTTTTCATTTTAGAGCAAGGACAAATTGGGACCTCGATGTAAAAGTTGTGGATTGATTCTTCAATCCAAAAGCACAAAGAAGATGAAGCTGATGTCTGAACAATTGGTCTGTCGGCACTGCGCTAAGGTATTAAGCACTCTTTCATTGACCTAATTAAGGAAATCCCAAGAATATCAATGTTGAGAAAAGTCGTGTTGCAATCATCTTCTCAAGTTTTAAATATTTAGGAAGATTTACATACATAACACTCAAGTCTTATGTATTTACATATCTGCTAAATATTTAGGAAGATTTACATACATACCACTCAAGTCTTATGTATTTACATATCTGGCACCTAAACTTTAATTTTTACATATATGTCCCCTTGTGCATGAAAAAGTGTATTTCACTTTTTAAACAGTCAAATAGTGGTATTATTTTTGATGTGATAAGAAAGATTTGGGTGGTATAAATGTAAAAATAAATGTTTAGCTGTTAGATATACAAAAATAAAAGAATTGGGTGGTATGTATGTAAACACCCCTTTATTTTATGCTGTCACTCACAATTTTGCAGTTGTTGAGGTCAAAACAATATTGTGGCATATGCAAGAAGATTTGGCATCACACGGATGGTGGTAGTTGGGTAAGTTGAATTACTTGGAAGTCGTTTTAGATTACTTTTTTTTTTTCTTTTTATTTTTCGTTTTAATTTTTTATGTTTATGTTTTGATTTGAAATAAAACATGCTCAGTTGTGATAGTTTTTTTTTTTAATATTTAAACTATCTAAAATTTATTTTTTTGTGTTTTCAAAAATAAGTTGATTTATATTAAAAAAAAGCAAAAACTATGCTAAAAACCATGTTTTTTTACAAATAAAGACAATAATAATAATAATAAAATGAAGATTTACATACTACTCAATTCCTATGTATCTAAGCTTTAATTTTTACCCACACTACCTTCTTACCTATGCATGAGAAGGTCTAATTCAGTTTTTAGAAGTTAAAATTATCATAATTTCGATTTAATATGAGTGATTTGAATGATATAAATGTAAAATGTAAAGTTTAGGTGCTAGATATGTAAATACATACAGATGGAGTGGTATGTATGTAAATGTACCAAAATAAATTTGGCCTCAAGTAGGCCCTTTTTATCAAAATGGTTTTATCTTTTTTCCTCATAGTAATGCCGTTGCAAATTCTTAAATCTTTTATCTGAAGTATTCCATAAATTATAGGTTTGTTGCGACGGATGCCAAATTTGGGTTCATGCGGAATGTGACAAAATAAGCATGAATCTTAAGGTTAGCTTGAATTCACCTTGTCAATATTAATTTATCTTTGGGATTACTATGTCCATCATACATTGTATGTGCTCGATTCTTATAATATCTTCACATTTCGAAGGATTTTGAAAACACCGACTACTATTGTCCGGAATGCAAGCCAAAATTTATTGTCCAATCAACAAATGCAAAGAAGTCCTCTCGTGTCAGGTAATTATCCAGTCTTTGCCTTTTTTCGATATTATAATTGTAGGTTGATTTTTGTACCAATTCATTATAGTATTAGACTAATGTTTCCTCTCTTTGTAACAGTGATAGAGACAATTTGCAAGAGACAAAACCCGGCGAGATAGATGTAGTTTGCTGCGGTGTGAATGGAACATACTTCATTGAGCAGCACATGTGAGCTTCAACTCATCATGAAACTAATCTTAAACATCAGGGAAATTTACTCCCAATTCTTATGCCTTTACATATCTCACACCTAAACTTTTATATTTACATACATAATACTTTGATGTTTTAAACCTATGCATGAAAAAGCTGTATTTCACTTTTAAAAGGTGGTATTAGTGCTATTTTAGATGCGATATTAAAAATTTGAGTGCTATGTGTAAATATGAAAGTTTAGGTACATTAGAATTGTGTACTATGTATGTAAATGCTCCTAAAATTTATTATTATTCATCTTTGATTTCATCACATTTGCTAAAATTTCTTCTGGATGTATTCCTTTTAATAGTAGCCATAATCCTACTTGCATATGGCATGTAGTGTTGAATATCAAAAGGCCTTCTTTATTCTTGCACAATTTCATTGTCTTGTTTCTAAAAATTGGATTTTTATCTTTCTAATGGGTTGGTTTTTTATCTTGTTTCTAAAAATTGGATTTTTACCTTTCAACATAGCGAGAAAGTTTTTTGCTGAGAAAAGTGCTAAAATGATCCCCTTGACTCTTTGTAGGGGGGTCATTTTAGTCCCAAACTCTATAAGAGTGTCAATCTAGTCCCCAAATTTCTTTAATAGGCATTGAAATAATTTTCTGTGGGAACTAATTTGACACTTTTATAGATTATGGGACTAAAATAGCCCTCATGTAAATAGTCAGGGGACTATTTTGATACTTTACTAGTTGTTTATGTGTTTTGATTGTAAGTTTGTTTGGCTTAGAAATCAGCTTGCTAAATTGATAAATTTTTAGTTCTTCCATCATAATTACATGCAAATTCAGTTTTAAAAATACATTCAGAAAAGTAAAAGAAACGCACTTATACTGGCATTGAATGTACAAAACCTTGCGCTGGCATTGAAAAAAAAAAAAACTAATTATCACATGTTACGTAGCAATTACAGCTTTGATTAAGAAGGTTTGGATCTAGATTTTAACTAAAATTTTGATTTAGTTGGGCTAATCTTTGAACCTAGAATATAACTTAATAAATCAGTTGACACCTGAATATGACCTTCCAAACTACTTATGACATGGCAATTGCAATTACAATCCAATCATAATGTGCCAACATTATCTGCCAATAAATAAAAATGATCTGACTAGGCTTTTTTATAAGCATTTTGGGTCATGATTGCTTGCCCTTTGTTTTTCAGATCACATTTGGTCAGTTTCATGACTGATTCATGAAATTTTTTTGACTTAGTTGGATAATAATTGGATTGGATGGTAAAAACGTGGAATTACACACTCCTTTTGAATCTGAATTTTCCCTTTTTTTTTGAACCATTTACTCGCATCCATGTAACAAATTGCAAACTTTTTAATTCTTGAATTTTAATCCAGTAGTTTTGTTTAATGTTCATGACAAATTGAATTATTGTCACAAGGTGTCTTGTAGCTCCTCTATCATTGGTTTCTTGCAAATTAAAAAATTGATGTTGAGTTATTATGTGATCAGTCAAAGTTAGAGATTTCAAATTAAGAAATTGAAAGTGACCTTTATAGCTGTGTTTACGTATGTTTTAAGGGTTCATTTGGTTGTCTGCATTACAAGTGTAATGTAACCAGATGTAAAGAGTTTTGAAATGTGTGTTTGGTTGGATGCAAATGAAATAATATAAAATTTTAGTGAATTTTAAACTGGCAATTTAGTCTATACTTGGTTTAATTAGAAATTGGTCGATTTCCAAATTCAACCCCCACTTTTTCACCATCACCATTGGATTTTACATTGGTTGCATTTTATGTCATTCCAAACACTAAAATAGTAATATCCACGTTTGTTTTACAGTTAATCAAACTTCAAAACATTTCAAATATAATACATTTTAATTTCATTGTTTTTAATTACACAGTATTCCTTTTTTAGCAAACCAAACAACCTCTAAATTAAAAGGGAAATTTACATACCTAGCACATAATTTTTATGTATTTACATATCTCACAGCGTCACTTTGGTACTTTAAACCTATGAGTGAAAAGGTGTGCTTCACTTTTAAAAAGTGTTAATAGTATTATTTTTTATTTGATATTAAAGATCTGAGTGCTATGTGAAATATGAATTCTGCGGGAGATATGTAAATACATTGCTCCACATTAAAACCTCTTATGGACAAGAATCCTTGTAACCAATTCATGTTTCACTTTTCAGATGTTGATTAATGTTTGAATGCCCTGTAATCATATAAATGGCATTTCCTTTTCGTAGGGTATTATGCCATTGTCGTTCTTGCAAGCTTCAGAAGCTAACACCGAGTGAATGGGAGCGGCATATTGGCTGCAGAAGCAAGAAGTGGAAGAGTAGCGTCAAAGTTAAAAGCACAATGCTGGCACTCGGAAAATGGGTACGTACTCGAAGAGCAACACATTATTTTGTTTGCATTCTCTAGACATTATTGTCTTTTTCCATATCCGAGAATTCCTCGTGTTTAGCTGTTTTTATGAATATTGCAATAGCTCTTTAATGGTTGAACCTCCAGATTTGTTGCTCATCCTTATGTTGCTCTACAGTTGGAGCAGTATGCGTCGCAATTCCCAAATCATGCCAATTACATGTCTTCAAAGCCGAGAAAAGAGAAATTGCTTGCTTGTTTGCAAGGTAAAAAGCTTATATTGATAGTATCAACAATATTTCTCCACTTCTATTATGGATATTGACACATCATGAGATCATATGGTTTTGATTTCGATTCATCAGAAGAATATGAGCCAGTGTGTGCTAAATGGACGACAGAGCGATGCGCAATATGTAGATGGGTTGAGGATTGGGATTACAATAAGATTATTATCTGTAATAGGTAATTTTGCAGTTTTCTGTTCGCATCTAAGATATTCAGTAGCATTTGATCTTTTTTTATTGGTATAATTCCCAGATGTCAAGTAGCTGTTCACCAAGAATGCTATGGAGCAAAGAGCATTCGAGATTTCACATCTTGGGTGTGCAGAGCATGCGAAAAACCACAATTTAAACGAGAGTGTTGCCTTTGCCCGGTGAAAGGTACTTAGATGGCTCTTGATTATTGTTGACCGGAAAGAGGTTTTTTTTTTAATCTTATTAAATATAGAACCCCTTTATTTATTATATTAGAAATCAGGACAATGTGTCAATGTACAAAGGCATGAAAATACTTTACTAACTATATATATAGTAGTTTCCTAAAATGATATTTTCTATTTTAACATTTTCCCGCAAGCTCGGGTGTATTTCAATTTTAAGGGCTCGTTTGACCTTGCGGTAATCCTTTGTTCCGGTTGAGAGAACGCCGACAAAACGCTCGACCGCTGTTTGGTAGAACGATGTCGCCGAACGTCCATTGAATGAAACACCATTTTTTCCTTGTTTCAGATCGTGGCTTTGGCCCTCTGTTCCACTGGATTCCGCTGTTTCGTGAGTTAAAATGTCCAAAATGGCTTTGAGGATCTCCCCTATCGAACGCTCTTCAGACGAAATGGAGAGAGTGGCGAAGGCGGTAAAATTCCACAAAAGCAGGCTGCAAAGAGGGCGGGAGAGGGAATAGAGAGGTCGGCGATGGCGGCGGTGGCAGCGACAGCTGCAGGGATGGCGGCGACAGTAGAAAGTTTTCAAGGGGCCGGCGAGGAGTCTGATGGACTAGTGGAAGGAGAATGTCATATTTTTTATTTTTTTTACATCTGTTTAACAGGGATATTTCATATTTAATATTCTAAACGCTGCATCTACGAATATAAAAAAAATAATTCAAATAGATTCTTAGTTTGAATGATTGAAACTTTATAATGCCTTTTATGTTAAAGCTCCTTTCAAAAGGACTTTTATGAAAGACGGAGCTCTCTAAAACGGGGCCCAAGTCAAAATAGTTTTATTTTTGATGTGATATGAAAATTTTGGGTGGGATAAATGAAAAAAAATAAAGTTTAGGTTTTAGATATGTAAATACATAGGAATTAGGTGGTGTGAATGTAAATGACCCTTATTATTTCTTATTGACCTAAGTATATTGTCCTATATTAGTTGACGTTATCAGAAGCTAAGCCTCTCTAAATCATATTGTTTGACGGAATTTGGGGTTCTAATTTTTTTAACACATGCATTTCACTTTCAAGCTAAAATTTTTATAAATTCATGATTTTCTTTTTTGTAATATGTTTTGCTAGGTGGTGCTTTGAAGCCGACTGATATCGAGGAACTTTGGGTTCATGTTACGTGTGCATGGTTTCAACCCGAAGTCTCTTTCTTGAGCGACGAAAAGATGGAGCCTGCAGTCGGTATATTGAATGTCCCATTGCAGTCCTTGTCGAAGGTCAACTCTCAAAACAGCACCAAAAACTCAGATTAGATGGTTTATACATATTGATTTTTAAAATCAACTAAGTTACTGGTCAATGTTTTCATGTTTTCGTGCTGTTTCAGACGTGTTCAATATGTAAGCAGATGCACGGTTCGTGCACACAATGCTACCGATGTTCCACTCACTATCATGCAATGTGTGCGTCGAGAGCAGGATATCGCATGGAGGTATGACAACAAACATGTAATATATTACCCAATTCTTATAAATTTATATTTCTAAAGCCAAATATTTAGTTTTTACATTTATTGCACTCCATTTTCATATTACATCAAAATTACCACTATTTTAACTTTTCAAAAGTGATATACACCTTTGCTTGCATGGGTAAGGTGGCATGTATGAAAAAAATTGAAGTTTAAAAGTGATATACACCTTTTCTTGCTTGGGTAAGGTGGCATGTATGAAAAAAATTGAAGTTTAGATGTTAGATATGTAAATACATAAGAATTGAGTGTTATGTATGTAAATCTTCCTAATTATTTTATTCTATTATATTATATGCTATTAGAATGCTTTTATTATACTTATTGTGGAGCTTATATGTCTCTTGGATTATTCAGACAGGTAATTAGTTACTTAATAATTATAGGATGTCAGTTCATCTTTAGTTCCCATATTTAGTTTACTACCATATAATGATCATTAAAGTTTGCATGAATGTAATCTAGAATTTTATATCTATATACTGTATTTTGAGCCATAATTAGAGAGAATAATGCTGTTATTAAACCTCTAAATAAGGAGAGAGCTTCTTTTCATAATGTGGCTTTTTCAAGAGACATATAAAGCCATGTAAAAAGGGACAATTCACATTTATTTCATTGGATAATTACATACAAACCACCTGAAACATTGATATTTACAAATTAACCATCCAGGCGATTTTTTTTTTTTAATTACCGAACTGACGTATTTATGCTTACCGCGATCAAACTATTGAGAATTTGATAAAAATGAAAAATATGGGTTGGGGTTTTATTATGACTTCTGATATTTGAGTGAGAATTTGAAAAATGGATGAAAGTAGGTGTTTGATTTGTAAATAGCAAGTTTTAGGTGATCTGTATGTAATCGCCCAACATGCATGCTATGAGGTATGCCATAACTGATTTGACATTAATATAAGGCATTAAAAGTTTAATTCGGCGTTGATATTTAGAAAATAGAGAAAGGCCCAAAAAAATAGAACCTTTTATACAAAATCTGTGTTTACTTGTATCTATGTAATCTGAATTTGCACATATCAAATCTTAAATCTAACTTTAATATTGTAATTTTAAATTGATTTCAAAATATTCAACTATATATTTAATAACAGTTATAAAAAATTTTTGGTTAAATTTGACTTTGATTATATATTTCTTAAATTCTATTTAATTGCAACAACTTTGAGGAAAGAATCTTTCAACGACTTTGATTCATAATTCGTGAATTTACTTATAAACCATGAAACTCTTATTAATATGAATAAAGTTTTATGATTGAATTGATATCTAATCTAAATCTATAGTACTCATCTTAATTCTATTACCTAATTTTAAATAAACGCAATTTTAACACTTATATAAATTGAAATTAAATGATTTTAATAGTTCAAAATTTATAATATTTTGGAGGTATTCTTCTTGTGTTATACTAAGTCTTTTGGGATCAATAATGTCATATTTTATACTTTAACATTAAAAGATCCAAAATTAGCTACTAATTTATATAATTTAAACTAATTTGCACAAATATCTAAGGTCGACGAGTCTAACTTTAACCATATTTATAGAACTCAAGTAATGAATGCATGTATAATCTGATAAGCAGTTTATAATCTAGTATGATTACAATAGTCAACAAATTGCTGGTTAGTAGAGATCCCATGGGTTAAGGAGATGCACCTGAAAGAGGAAGTGAAGAGGGCGGATGTAATAATTGTAATAACAACAAGCCTTTGTCCCACTAAGTGGGGCCTACAATATGAATCTTTTTTCTCCATTGTGTCCTATTTATTGTCATCTTTTCATTTAATTCTAATAAATTAAGATCTTTTTTTTATAGAATATGCCCAAGTCTTTTTAGGTCTACCTCTGCCTTTCTTAACATAAGTCGAATCTAAAACATCTACTCTTTTAATCGGATCATCAGATGATCGACGTTTAATGTGACCAAACCGCCTAAGACGATTCTCTATAATCTTGTTTGCCATTGGAGCTACACCTACCCTTTCACGTATAAATTCATTTCGCATCTTGTCTCTTGAGTGTCAAGCCACTCATCCACCTAAGCATTTTCATTTCAGCTACACTTAACTTAGTTTTATGCTTCTTTTTTGAAGGCCAAAATTCTTCGCCATTAAGCATTGCAGGTCTTACCACCATCTTATGTAATTTTCCTTTAATTTTAAACGATATTTTTCTATCACATGCATTCCTCTACTTCAACTAGCCAACTTGAATTCTACTAATAACTTCCACATCTATCACCATCAATCACCATCACTTTGAACACATCACTTTGAACAATAGACTGAAATATCTTTACGGTCACATCTTTTAATGATTTAATCATCCATTGTCACCTCGTCCACTAGATATACTACTACTAAAATTATATTTCATGTATTCAATTTTAAATCTACTCAAACGAAGACCTTTAGGCTTTAATGTTGACCTCCATAATTCAAGTTTTTCCTAAATTCTTTCTCTAGTCTTATCCACAAGAAGGATATCATCAACGAAAAAGTAATTAATATGTCAGTTTGAAATAACTGTTGAGACGGGTCCGCTATTAGGAGATGAAGGGGGACAAATTGAATTCATTCATTCATATTTGAAATAGAGAGTGCGAGAGTGGGAGAGGATGAGGAGGAAGAAGAAGAAGAAGAAGAAGAAAAAGTTACTCTGTGAAGAAGGGGTTGCCTGCTTCTCTTACTAGAGATTCAACGCCATTGACAAAAGTTGACGACGAGGGCTTTGTGTGTGAATAAGAAGATGAGTGTCATTCGTGGGAGTCGAGCGACGACACGTGTAGGAGGTGAAATGGATGTCATTGTTGTAGCCATAGGGTTTTAACTGTCGGTGAAGCGAAGCTGGGTGTAGCTCCTATTCGAAGGAGAAGAGGGAGAGCAGTGCTTTTGTGTGCGTGGGAGGAAGGCGGAAGGAGCCTCGTTTGCGGGATGCTGGGATCAAAACGAATTGAGGATCTTGTGCAGGTTCAAACAGCGGGAGGAGCTTTTGTGTGCAACTTATGCAAGAGACAATGAATTGAGCTTTAAGAAAGAAGGCAAATTCATGTAGGAGGAGGTGAAACCGAGCATATAAGGGAAAGGGTTTATATTTTGTTGTATAAGTTATTTTGTTTGATTAAATAAATGTTATTCACTTATACTAAATTTTATAAATTAATATTAGTGAATATGAGCTAATAGTTAGTTGAATTAAAGGACAAGGGAAATCGAGGTTTGTGCATTAATGAGGCGATGTTGCACTAAATATCAGTTTTTATTTGAGATAATCAATTAATTGAAAATTTTGTTAATAAGGTTGTGTTTTGAACCAGACCGCTTTGTGTGTGAGTTCGAGCAAGATAGAGGTGAACGATTCCATTGAATGAAAGAAAAGGTATGATGCGGGTTTTATTAATTTTTCTAAATAATTACTAAGTTATGTTAAATGTTAATTGTAGGTTTTATTAAATCAAGGCAAGAAGTTTTGAAAGAAAAGGTATGATGCGGATTTGTGAATTTGGATTTGGAATTTTGCAAGAGATTCTAAGGATTTGTGAATTTGGATTTGGAATTTTGCAAGAGAAGATGAAAAACAATGAAGGTTAGAATTTTCATAATTAAGTTAAGGTAATGTTTAAATTAAATTGAAGTTATAATTAAGTATTAAATATTACTTTATAAATCAATTTCAAGAATTAAATTTAAGAAACATAAGTTAAAGAATTTGATAGGATCATGTCATAAAGAGAAATCAATGCGAGTAATTAGTATTTTTTGTGTTAAATTAATTTCTTTTATGCTTTAAAATTTTTTCATTTGTTACACATTAACAACACTCTCATAACCGAATGAAAATAAGTGAAAAATATCTGCACGTTTATGGTTTTCATTTTTTAATTTGTGCTGTATTAAATAAAGATTTAAATGAATTTAATTATGAGAATAAATGAAATATAAGTTAAATAAAAGATAAACAATTAAGTTTATAACACGTCACCTCTTATGGTACTTAGAATAGATACTATTGTACTCATGTATATTAAAAAAAAAATGAAATGAAAATGGTTGTCTGTATGGTACAAAATGGAAAAGGAAATAAAAATGATCGTGCCTTTATGTTATAAATTGTGAAAGGTTTTGATGATGCTCCTGAGATGACTTCTGAAAGTTAAAAAAATAATTAAAAAAAAGAAAATTATTAAAAGAAATTGAAAACACAATTGATAGGATATTTAAATTCAATTTTATAAAAAAAATGAAAAAGACAGGTTATTTTATGATTAACATATTTCCTTGAACATTCATGTTAGACATTTACATAAAAATTTAATGCACGGTAAAATACTAATTATTCTTCATGTTTCTTAATACATAATAGCATGTTTAACTATCTTTTTTAAGAAAATCTTTTTTAAATTGATATGATTGATAGAAGATAATTTGTTTGTATGGAGAGAAACTTTGTTGGTGATAGGTAGCAGTTTGTATTTTTTTTTTTGTCATTTTTATTGTACAATTTGTGTTATTGCATCACTAGATGATTATATATATATGTTAGAGGATTACCTATATATGTATTGTAGACTTAGTGAATTTCTTGTTTGTTGATGTTATTGTGGACTAATGTTAATATTTAGAAATGTTTTTCATCATCCGACTATCCGTATCCGTCTTGGTTAATTTTAAGTTCTAGAGCTTGGTTATGACGATAGAAGCTAACTTGTTTGGGTTTTAACTGCCAGACATTATGATCCATATAAAAAAAAAACATTAAACTTATAATGATCCAATCACAAAACTAGGATTAATTCATCAAAATTATTGGAATTATTAGGTTAATTATTAACGCAGTTATTATTTGCTTTTATTTGATTCCTTTATTTCCGTTTCCATATCAATGTCTATTTCCGAATTGTGCTTCCTTTATTTTGATATTGTAATATGTATTTA